GGCTCTGCAGGAACACAGGAGAGAGGATGGCAGTAGGGGCAAGGGCCAACTCAAATTCTGAGGCATTTTGTGAGTTGATTGTTAAACACAGCCATTATTAAAAATTTAATTATGTGTAATGTAACATGTATAATTTATATTTTGTAAAACATATAAAACAAAAATAAATTATATATAAATAATAACTTAAATTATATAGAATTATCATATGATCCATCAATTCTATTTTTTATCAGTTCCACTTCTGGGTAGATACCCAAAACAATTAAAAGCAGAGACTCAAATACGTGCAAAACCGTGTTCTTATCAGCATTATTCACAATAACCAAAAGGTGGAAGCAACCCAAGTGTCCATTGACAGATGACAGGATAGACAAAAATGTGGCCCAGCCATACAGTGGAATATTAGTCAGCCTTAAAAAAGGAGGAAATGCTGACACAGGCTACAACACAGATGAACCTTGAAGATATTATGCTGAATGAAGTAAGCCAGGCACAAAAGGACAAATATTATCTGATTCCTTATATGAGGTAATACTATCTGATTCCTTATATGAGGTATCTAGACTAGTCAAATTCACAGAAACAGAGAGTAGAATAGTGGGTGCCAGGGGCTGGTGAGAGGAGAAGGGGAAATAGGTAGCTATTGTTTAATGGAAATAGAGGTTCAGTCTGGAATGAGGAAAAACTTCTGGAAATGGATGGAATTGATGGTTGCACAACCATATGAATGTACTTCATATCATTTAACTGTACACTTCAAAACGGATAAAATGAATTCTTTATTAAGTATACTTTATAACAATAAATACATTGCTCTGTTAGAGAAAAATTAAGTTAAAAATTGGGTTTATATAAATTAAGTTACTTATAATTCCATTAAAGACAAAGGTAGTAAAGTACACAAAACTCATATGTCCTAAGTGTTTGACTACACTTACTTCCCGTCTGCTCTCGCTTCTTATCGCTGTCATGTCTGTGTGGTAGGAACACCGCATAATGGTGGCTACCGCACAGCTCTACCCAGCTCTGACTTCAGTGGCGTCACGTCGGTAGCTCAAAACTGGCCTGGGCCAGAGTATTTACACCAAGAAATAGGCAAATGCTACAAATCAGGGGATGTATTTTTTAGACCCCAGGTTGTTGGGTGTTAAGATTATGGGGCATCCCACCGGAGGGGCGGGCTCGGACTGCAGTGGGGCCGCCTGGGCGCAGAAGCAGTTTCCGTAGGTGGAAACCCACTAATGCCGTGGAAGTGGGGGAAACACAGGACTCAAGGGCGATGGCGTTGGCCTGAGTGGCTAGGTGGGCAGTGGCGCTGCTTGCAAAGATGGTGGGCGGGGGTTTGGGGGCTGTGGAAGGCCCGGCAGTGGACGGGTCCAGGGCCCTGGAGCTCAAGGAAGCCCTACTGTGTGCCAGGCTCTGGCAGAGCTGAGACCCTGCCCTGGAGAAGACCTGGTCTGGGAGGAAACAGATGGCCCGCTTAGCAGGGTGTCCTGTCCAAAGCCCCAGAATGGCTGGGCGAAGAGCCACCATGCCCCCTCTGCTCCCCAAACGCCACCTGGAGCTTGGGGTCACGGACACCCCTACGCAAGCCAAACGGCTGCTTCCGCCCATCAGTTTCCTCCCTCTCTTCTTCCCAAGGTCCATCCCATCGGGGCTTGACCTGTGGGGTCTCTCTTCCAGCGCACTCCCTTCCCATTTCCAGAAGGGCTTGAGCTGAACCTCATATTACACCATCCCTGACTCCAGCTTTTCTTAAAACTTGCTGTCTGAGCGTCCCCACCCCAAATCCTGTCGGCACTGCCACCTGCCAGACAGCGTTCCTTACCTACAGTAGGCTTTGCGGCATATTAGACATCTCTGGGAGATGCAGCCTTGACCTAAAGGAACGGCTCAGATGGAGCTTCAGGCCTGGATGAGGAACAGGAGCTGCCGTAGCAGATCCTCAGATCCCACAGAAAAGCATCTGCCAGTCCTGGAGGCCAGACGCCAGCTATTGGTGTTGGCAGGGTCACGCTCCTGCTGAAGGCTTAGGGGAAGAATCCTTCCTTTGCTCTGCCAGCTGCAGGGGTCCCGAGTGGACTTTGATTTGTGACAACATTACTCCAATCTCTGCCTCTGGTTTCACATGTCTCGTTTCTCTGCGTCTCTGAGACTTCTCCTTTTTGGTCTCTTATAAGAACTCTGGCATTGGATTTAGGGCCCACCCTAATCTAGGAGGATCTTATCTGGAGAGCCTTACTTACCTTCATTACATCTGCAAAGATCCAACTCCGGTCACATTCTGAGGTTTGATGGAAACTGCTTTTCCAGGCCCACGGTTCACAGGTCTCACAGTGGGCGGGTGCGAGGGCTGTTCCCTCTGGTGTCTCTCTGATGACGCCTGGCCCCTGGGCTGGGCTTCCAGGCCGTCCTGCCCTCTCCCCTGGCCTTGAGAGAGCATGCGTCATGGGATGCGGGCACTTCACCGTTGTATTTTCTTGCCAAATTTAAGCTCATGTTCTTCTTTCTGCCCCTGCTGCTGTGCATTTCATCTGCCCAGCACCCCTGCCAGGATTCTCTGGCAGCCCCCCAGCCTGCCTACTCATGCCCTGGGAGAGGGGGATGGGGGCCCCATCACACTACAGCGATCAGACCTTATTAAAGTCCTGGAGCCCCAGACTGGACACAGCCATCAGAAGTGATCAAAGGACCAGAGATGATTAAAGGAGCAGGACAGATGGATGATTTAAACTGAGAAAGAGGCCAAGGAGTGGCAGGATTGTCTTCAGGTTTATAGAAGGTAATTATTACTCGCAGGGTGGTATCCAGCTGTTTCCCATCTCCTCTGAGGACAGGAAAAAAGAGGAAATAAATGAGGTACAATTAGAGCAGTTGGTTAGATACAAGGATGGACTTCCTGGCTGGGAGTGTGGCTAAGCACTGGGTTGGATTTCCTGAGGGAGTGTGGGGAACCTACTTACCTGGAGGCCCCAGAGGTTAGAGTGAAGGGGAGGTGAAGGTAGGGGGATGGATTAGATGGGCGCTGGGTCAGGCCAATGTAGGGCATTTTCTGGCCTGGGCGATGGGGTCCCTCCTGCCATTGTCCTTTGGGTTCTCGAAGGGGAGCATTTTGAGGGGGCGTCCCCCCTGGCTGGGCTTCCCAAGGAGATAAGCATAAGTATGTTTAGCCGTGTTGTGAATGGAAATAAAAGCTGCACAATGAGCTGACCTCTGCTAAGCTGGTAGAACTCCACCCTTGCCCTCTGGGAGAACAATCACAGGGGTGTGTCCGTGCTCACCAGGTGACCTGTATGAAAACACTGGAGGAAAATGCTGTGGCCCAGTCTGGGTGCTGTCCTGGAGCCCTTCCTCGGGGCTGTGTGGGTCAGCTGCTCTTAGAGGCAGTGGACCACCAAATGGTCAAAGACAGGGTGAGGGGGGGCTCAGAGGACAGGACTGCAGGCCAGGCCCAGGTGCTGGTTTTCAGTTGAGTGAACGGGGGCTGGTGTACAAGCCATCGGGGTGCTCATTGAGAGTGGCAGCTCTGTTTCTGGAATCCGGGCTCCCTGGCAGAGGAGGGAGGGTGTGTGCAAATCTGCAGTCTGTGGTTTTACAGTTCCATGTCCACAAACTCACTTGGTTGAAAATAGTTCAAAATATCCAAAGCATGAGGGAGGGAGGGACGGCTTTTCTTAAAAAGGAAGGACTTGATTTCATCTACTTAAAAAAGCCCACCAAACCTTGTGCATTCTCAGCAAGAGGCCTCAGATAACCCGGATAGCAGCCAGGCCTGTGTTCCTGCACGTTTGGGGTCTTTCAGAACTTGGGGTGTGACGGTGGGGAGGGGAGTGGCAGGGACCAGCCTGTCCCCCAGGATGCGCTCTGAGACACTCATGTGCCACACTGCGGGGACCGTATCACAGAGATGCCCTCCAGCTCCGAGGATGGTACTCCCTGCTGTGAATCCTCACTGGCCCTAACTTTGGCCTGAGGGCCCCTGGCCCCTCAACAAGGTCATGAGTGGACCATAGGCGGGAATGCCCAGCTGGCTCCGACAACCCTTCAGCTGTGGGTGCCAGGCCTGGAGGGCCCTTCCTGGGGACTTGATCCTGTTAAGTTCCAACCCGTTCTTTTGTCTCCAGTTCTTAGGACCCTGCCTGCCCTGTAGATGATAGGGTTTCATCAGTGTTTGGTGAATGGCCGAGCCCAGGTGGAAGGAGGAGCCCCACGGGGCATTCCCCTTTCTCCCCATTCCCCACCTTCTTCCTTCGGATCCTACCCAGTATCTTCACACTTGGGGGAAGCCCGGGTCCACGCTGTCTCCAGGAGCCCCTTGGTGGGGAGGGACGGCACACTGCCCAGGCTGTTCGGACGGGCGCCCCGGCCCTGCCCCACGCCCCTGGGTACCCGAGCCTTTTCTGTCGGCCGGCCCCGAGGGTGCAGTGAGGTGACCGGAGGGGTGCCCTCTCCGCCACGGGCCACGTGACTCGCGCTCGCCGCCTGCTCCGGGCCAACACGCCGGGGTCCCGCCGGCCCGCCAGCGCCGGCGCTTAACCCTTGGGGACTCTAAGCGCGGGAAGGCGGCGGCGGCGGCAGCGAACTTTGTTTGGTTGCGTAAATAAAACCTCCCGCTGAAGGGACCCTGCGCCCCAGGGAAGGGGAGGAATCTCTTCCCGCCTCGGCGCCGCCCCCGCGCCGCCGCCCGGCCTCCACATCCGCCCACATCTGGCCGCGGCGGGGCGCCCGGGGGGGGGGAAGGGGCCGGGCCGCGTCCGTCGCCGTCCCCTGGGCGCGGGCCGGGCGGGGAGAAGGGGGGCGCTCGGGTCGGGCGCGCAGGGCTCGGCGTGTCCCCGTGGCGGCCGCTCGGGCCCCAGCCTCCCGGCCCGGTCTTGACGGGCGGGCGGCGCAGCCAGTGCGAGACGGGGAGGCCGGGCGGCGGTGCGGGAACCTGATCCGCCCGGGGGCGGGCGCGGGGCGGGGCGGGGGCGCAGGGCGCGGGGCGGGCCGGCTCCCGCCGCCTCCCCCATTCATTCAGCCGAGCCCGGGGGCCGAGGGGCTCGGCGGCCAGCTCTGAGCGGCGCCCCAGCCAGCGCGCAGGGCCCGGGCCCGCCGGGGGCGCTTCCGTGCGGCGCGCTGCCCACCAGCCACAATGTCCGACCCTGCGGTCAACGCGCAGCTGGACGGGATCATTTCGGACTTCGAAGGTGGGTGCCGGCCGGGCCGCGGGCGTCTCGGAAGCCCTTCGGGGCTGGCCCGGCGCGGGACGGTGCGCGGACGGGGAGGCGGACCCCCGATGGGGACGCCTTCCCGCGTGAGACCCCCGGCGTCGACGTGTTAGCACCGAGTTCGGGGGGCCGCGGGGACCACACGCCCTCCCTGAACCCCGCGCTCGCTCTGCGCGCTGCCGCCCGGTTTCCTTCCTTTTATTGTTGTTTGTGTTTGCCGAGCGACGACAAGCCCCTCGAAGGCTGGCGGGTTTCCTCGGAACCACCCGCGGTGGCGCAGTCCCCTCTGGGCAGTCGCTTGGGCCCCTCCCTCAGGGCTTCCCGGCGGCCTCCAGGCCGCGGTGGCCCTGCGGCGCGTTGGGGTTCGCCCCCCGCCTCTGCGTCCTGCCCGGAGGGCATCCCCCTCTCCCACGTCCGTTTCGGGCCAGCCGAGCCGACCCCGGGCTGGGGAGGGCCGCCGAGCGTGCTCGGCCCAGGCCGCGGCGGCGTCCAGAGGGGGGTGTCCCGTGGCCCCCTCCAAGCCTGGGGACATCCTCCTCCGCCTCCCGGAGCCGGGCTGCCGCAGGGAGGGGGTCGGGGGAGCGATCTGCGAGCCGGGGGGAGCGCGTTTCGGCCCCCTCCCTCGCTCCGGGTTAAGTGTGGCGAGGCTTGGGGGCTTCTCCCTCCGAGGGCGGTGGGTCATCCCGGCCCTGGGCCTGCGTGTGCACTTTCGTGCGACCTCGTGACTGCCTGTGGCTCTGCGTCCTGCGTCCTGGGGAGTAAATAAAGCGGCTGGACGGGGAAGCTCACACAATAGTCTTGGGCACTTCGCGGCCGGGTTTCTGAAGGCGGGCCTGACCGAGCTGGGACCTAGAGCCCCCGCCCCTCAGAGGAGCTCCCAGGCATCCTTGGGCAGAGCCCTCTGGTGGGCCCTGCGTCGGGGAGTCTGGGCTGAAGGGCGTTGCAGATGTCCAGGTGCCAGGCCAGGCTGGGAGGTCCTCTACCCACTGTAGGAAGAGCCAGGGCTGGCATCTGGGTGTCCGGAGCCAGCCGCACACATTGCCCACCTGGGAACCGCCCAGTCTGCTGTGGGGGTGGGATGGTGGGGTGGGGGCGGCACTTCTGGGGCCCAGAGTCTGGCTGGGCCCCAAGCGGAGCCCTGGCGGCTGTGATTCTCGGTTGGGCCTGGACTGGCTTAAGCAGGGGGTGAAGAGACAGAAGGGGTGAGGGTCCAGCTGCCGGCACACCCTACCAACTGGCTGGGTGTTAGGAGCACTGGGCAAGGGGAGTTCTGGTTCAGCAGAGCTGTGGTGGCCGTCTGGACATCTTGGGGCACACGTTCATCCTGGGGTCCCCCCATGCCTTCTGTGTTCTGTTTTGCCTCTTGCCTGGAGCACGGCACCGCCCCTCACCCCTCCGCAGCTGCTCTTTGAGATTCCTGCTGCCAAGCTGCGCTCCGGGCCTCTCATCCCCCAGATGTCCAAGTGCGAGCACCATCCGCTGTGGGGATGGCTGCACCCCTCAGGTCCCACACTCTGCGGACAGTCTCCTTGTGGCCTGTGGGCTTGGAGTGGCCTGCTGTCCATGACCTGAGAGCTGCGAGCTGCCGGTGGGGCTTCCGGGAAAGGACAGGATGCAGCCGCAACCCAGAGGCAGGTCGGGGAGGCGGAGGCTCAGGGGTAGTGTTGGACCCTGGGGCAGTTCAGGCCCTGTAGATTCTCGGCACCTGTGCCTCGGGGGTCCCCGGGTAACTGCATCCTCACCCTCATGTGCCCCATTTGGAGATGCCAGCGGCTCAGTGGCCCCATTGAGACCCTCCTAGTGCAACAGTTGGCAACCCTGTGACTCCAGGGGCAGATTTTGCACTGCCAGGGAGAGGGACCGCTGGCCCTCTGGTTCCCTGTGGGCCTCAGTTTCCTTCTTGTGTGCCTTGAAAACTTGGAAGCGATTTGAGAGCAGGGGAGTCAGGAGTTGGAACCACGGCTTTCCAAGAGGACTTGTGCATGCGGGTTCTGCGCAGCCCACTGGGACCGGAAGGGCAGCCTCCCTAGGGGCCCAGGTGCGGAGTGGAGTTAGGTGGTGGGACTGACGTCCTGGGCAGATGGACATGGGGAACGAAGGTCAGAGGAGGAGGAGAATGTGACCCAGGGCAACAGTGGGTGAGCCAGGGCAGGGAAAGGTCGTTTTGGAGGAGGTGGACCTTGTGCCAGTGGGAATTCGATTGCGGAAGGAAGGAGGCAAACATTCAGGCCAGGGGCAGTGGACAGAAGTGGGGGATACTGGAATGAGCCTGTCCATTATGGGGCTGGGACATAAAGGGACCAGCTTTGAATGTCAGATGGGCCAGGCCTCCGAGTGCCAGGCGTGCCCTCCCACAGTCTGGATGGTCCTGGGGAGGCAGCCAGAGTGGCCGACAGTAGGGCTGGAGAAGCCCTGGTCTGTTAACATGGGGCCAGTGTGGAGCCTCCACCAGGGCTGCCCACATGATGTCTTGGTTTCTGAAAGGTAGGGCAGGAGGGCTGGGGAGGGGAGTGCCTGCTCCTCAGGGCCCTGAGGCTGGCAGACCTGGCCAGGCAGGAAGCACCTGTAGATTGTGGTAGGAGCGAAGCCCCAGGGGCCACCACCAAAGCAAGGTGAATTCTGAGTTAACTGGGGTGATATTTTCAATCCAAGCAGACTGGAATCCTGCAACAGGGGCCAAAGGGCACCGAAGGGGGTTCCTGGGAGGCTGGGGGCAAGTGGCAGCATCCAGAGCAGACAGGAAGCTGCCCTAGGCGTGTGTGTGTGGGGTGCAGTGGGTGCCCTGAGGAAAAATTCTGCTGGTGCCCCACATCCCGCACGCCTCCGCCCCCTGCCCTGCGAAGCACCTCTCTCTTTTAGTCATATTACTCCCACTGTGCCCTTTGCCACCTAGACGACTGAAGCACTCAGTTCCTGAGAGCAAGCTCCATCATGACACCCAGGTGGCGTAGGGATGCATCCTGTCGTATATTTTGGACCTGTCTGTTGAGTTCAGGTGTCCCTCCTGGGACTGAGATGGTGGCATTGTCTTCCACGGTAGGAACCTCCACACCGTTCTTTGCTTTCCCTTCATGGATAATCTCAAGGCTTTGTGAAGACCCTCTCCCACATAGGGGCAAGAACAGTATTTTGTATTTTGCTCATGTAATTTTTTTAATTTCCCACTTTTCCCTGTTGAAAACGGTCCTTGAGGTGGCCTCCGTGACCATCACTCCCCGTGTGACGGGGTCGGGGGAGGGGTGACCCTTCCCCCATCTCCTGGTTGGTGGAGGCATGGGGCAGTCGGATGGTGTTCTTGAGTCAGCACAGGCCAAATCTGTTATCACAAATGCTGTTACAACTCGGGTCTTTGTGGAACAAAAGCCTTCCCCAGTGCCAGCTGTTGGCCTACTTTCTCCAGCAGCGTTCGTTGTAACCAGATTTGCACACGGTGAAAGCATCCCAAAAGTCCGTGATGTTTGTTGAAAAACAATCTGGCCCAGAACCCAGGCTGTGGTCCCAGAACTGTACTCTGACCTAGAGGATGTCTGCCCTTCTAAACCCTCTGCTTTCTCCTCAGAGGACCCTCCCAGCTGGGTCCCGGAGGCTGCTTTGTCTCCCTGGGAACAGGAGAGCCAGGGTGGAAATGTGGGGTAGGCAGGGAGGGGGTCCCCTGGGCTGAGGTGGGACTGTGCAGATGTGCCTGCTCATCCGGGAGCCCGACACCTCGGGACACCTGCCTCTGTGGCTGGCTCCTTGTGCTCCTTTTTTCCCAGGACAAGACCTGTTGCTTGGTGATGGGTGCAGACCTGTCCCTAATTAATGCCCATGGGCCTCCAGAGTGATGAATCCTGCTGTTCTGCAAGTCTCAAGGCCTCTTGGGAATACCACCTCCCTGCAGCCTGCACCTCTGTGGCAGTGGGCACGAGCCAGGGTGGTGATGAGGTCACTCGGTTGGGCTGGAGATGCTGGCCTGCTGGGATTCTGCGGGCGCCTGCTCTGCTGCTGCGGGCGGATGGCTCTCTTGCAGGCCTGGCTGCCCCCACAGCACCGGCCTGGTGCTTTTTGCATCCAGAGCTCGGGACCAGGTGCCCACGGTCCTGGCTGTGAGCAGGAGGGCAGTTACACATGCGCCAGGTGGCAGAAGCCTCTGTAATCTGCTTCAGACCTGGGTGGGGAGGTGAGGCGAGCCGGGACACCCCACGTTTGGGGCATCAGTCTGGAAAGGCTGTCTGGAGGACATGGGTTTCCAGGAAGGCTTTGCAAGAGGCAAGTGGGCAGAGTTTGCATCCAGAGAGGGCCTTTGGGGGAAGAGGCTGTCGGGGCTGCCGAGAGCCGTGGTATTTAGGGCCAGCTCTCTCTGCCGTCTGAAAGCTGTGTGGCTTAGGGTGAGTGTCTTAGGCCCGGGCCTCAGTCTCCTCCTCTGTCAGGTGGGGTTATAAATGTCTCTGGGATTTATGTGCCCAGCTGGTAGCACTGAGGCTGGGCTCTGATCTGGATCTGGGTGTTGCTGCAAGAGATGGTGGGTGTGGATCCCTAAATGGAGGGGTCTGGGTGGTGAGAGGTGTTCAAAGGCTGCACATAGGCCCAGTTAGTTCTGCCTGACCTCTGGGGGGCAAGGCTAGACAGGGTGGTCAGTGCTGCAGAAGGAGCACCCATGAAGCCTACCATGAAGACTCCCTCTGAGTCCAACAGATAAACAGGCTCCTGGCCAAGGGGGACCTGGCAGACAGTCTGTCTGCAGGTGCTGCAGCTCTCTCCCTGTCGGTGGGTCTGGGGTCTTGTGGGCTGCACGGTTCCTTCCCTAGGGAGTCTTCCCCATTCCCTCTGCCATCCCCCGACCCCAGGACATTACAGGTGGGTGGGCTATGGGCCTGTCCTCCAGACAGCAACACGGGCATGTGCTGGATGCCAGCATTCCCGACAGGCGGGCATGCAGGGAGCCTGTTTCAGGGAGGGGACACTTGCATGGGTATCCTTTTGGTCCAGCAGCCCTTTGC